AAAATTTATTATGAATATATTTGAAGACTATTATCAAGAAAATATTCTTTGTTGAAGATGATTGTTACTCAAAAGAAGTAAAATAAACTGAGTAATCGCTTTAGTGGTACAATGATATTTTTCTGTATGTGTATATTATATAAGAAGATTATATAGAAATAATTAAATAAATATTATTTGAATAATAATAAAGTATTTTTGTATTATTTAAATAATAATGAATAAGTATTCACCGATTCCCACATCGTGCAAAAATAAAAACAGCCGTGGCTGCTATGCTATCCAGAGTTGATGTCGCGTTTCTTCTATACTCGCTGTGATTTGCGCGGATAACGCGGATTATGCCGGATTACGCGGATCGCGGAAGCGGCCGCGTTTTCGCCACCTCAGGATAGCGCTGATTAATGCGTCTATTCGCACGCGAGTGCCGCTTTGATCGCGTCAAGGATTCAACCTTCGCCGTGAGACTCGCAGGAATGCGCTCGCACGTGGAAGCGCGTTAAGTAGCACACGCCCGCGTATGCGACGTGCTCGTTAAGGCGTTCATTTCGCGATATCCCCGCGAAAAGAATGTCCGACAAACGCTCCATGTCGCGCAAAACTACTCGCGATGACTCCAATGAGTCATCATAGAGTCGCACGTTTCAAGGGACGTAGATCAGCCGAATTCATGTGAAGCTCTTTTGCTCTTCTTCTTCCTAAAGCTTGATCTATAATGTGTTATTTGCTTCCTGTTACTTTTTCTTCCTAAAGTTTGATCTATAATGTGTTATTTGTTTCCTGTTACTTTTTCTTTTTAAAGCTTGATCTATAATGTGTTATATGCTTCCTGTTACTTTTTCTTTCTAAAGCTTGATCTATAATGTGTTATTTGCTTCCTGTTACTTTTTCTTTATGACTCAAGCCTTAAACCTTAAACTAAAAAAAGACAGAAAATAAGAAACAGAAAGCCAAGAACACATTGTAGATTAGCCTTAAAGTTTGATCTACAATGTGTTCTTTGCTTCCTGCTTCTTTCTTTTTATCTCTTTTTGACTCAAATCTTAAAGCCTTAAGTTTTAGGCTTAAAGTCTAATCTACAATGCGTTTTTTGCTTTTTGTTTCTTGTTTTCTGGCTTAAGGCTTAAGCTTCATCTACAATATGCTCTTTATTTTTTGTTACTTGTTTTCTGTCTATTTTTAATTTAAGACTTAAGGTTTGAATCAGAAAGAGATAAAGAGTAAAAAGCAGGAAACAAAGAACACATTGTAGATGAAGTTTAAAGTCTATAATATGCTCTTTGCTTCCTGTTTCTTTCTGTTTATTTCTTTCTGACTTAAACCTTAAACTTTAAGCTAGAAAAAGACAAGAAACAGAATGCAAAGAGCATATTGTATCAGGCTTAAAGGTTTGAGTCAGAAGGAGGTAAAGGAAAAAAAGCAGGAAACAAAGAACATATTGTATAGATTAAGTTTAATAATAATAACAACTTTATTTTGTACTATTGATACATAGGTAATGACTATACTGAGAAGAAAATATTGGAGAATTTATTTGTGAGATATAAAATTTATACACAAAAATACAATTTTTATATTTCACAAAGAAATTTTCAAATATTTTTGTTTTTTCAAGTATTTTGTTCACAGTATATTATTTACATAAGAAAGAATAAACTGAATAAAGAATCGAGGTATTATCAAGAATAATACGTTCTAATAATATGTTCTAATCTGTTCTGTCTAATCTATCTTGCTAAGAAACATGGGAAATTTTTTAACACATTTTTTAGCGCATTTCTAAAATATAAAATGTGGATATATGAAAGCTCATATGTGTGTGAAATGGAAGAATAATACATTATTATTACAGAATTGTTGAATATATATATAGTATTACAGAAAATAATTATTACAGTAAATTATTATCACAAAACGTTCATCTTTTCTTCAATTACAAAATTCTGTACTAATTTTCACTATAAAATTCTCTTTTCGTGTATGAACGCAACGAAGTATAGTCATTGGTATCCGCAGAGGGTTGGAAGGAGAGAAGTGAATTGTTAGAGAAAAGGAGTTGGAGTAAGTGACGAAGAAGAAGCTTTTATGCAACCGTGCAAAAAGAAGTGCGCTAAATTCCCCGCTGGATTTCATCGCGAGTATTTTTCTCGGACTCATGCGTGCGTCTCGAATCGCGGAAAATGTGACGCACGACGATTTTCCCGCGGATGACGGAAGGTCATCTAACGCGCTCTCACAAGTGCAAACTTGTTGTAGTCTCAGCCGGGAAGATTATAGCCGATATTTTTGTGGCGCGGGGACGCGAGCGCATGACTCATCGAATAATCACGATACCGCCGCGGTCGATGCGTTTAACCCACTTCTGGATCGCGCCCGACACTGTAATTGAGAATCTGCGACGGTCGGAAATATAGGAAAGACACACGCGCGCGCTCAAAGTATACATAGAAGTATCGGCCGACTTATTCAAGCCATTAACCTGTCAGTTTGAGTCGCGCGACGTCCTAGCGGGAATTTTTCGCGATGCAAATGATACGATTCATCTCGTAGCGGGCCGCTAGTCGCGTGTACGTTATATACCGGTTACTAGGTGTAACCTACTGAGCGTGACTTATTTAGATCACTTTGCGCGCTGACGCTGTAATTTAGAAACCGCAATGAATAATAACGCGGGGAGCACACGCGCGTACGCTAATTGACGCCGGGGGATCGCCGTGCGGAGAGCAGGAGGTCGGAATTTCGTTCCGATACTCGTGTCAGATAAAATCATGTATCGTCAAGATACAAAATATAAATCGTAGGGCCTGTTTCATGCGGATACCGACGGGACCAGCACGTAAACAAACAAAATTTTCATTTTTGAATATTATTACGCATTGAGAGAATATTCGACAATTTATTTGTGGAATATGAAATTTATTGAAACAAAGTTTATTTCCGCGAAGTAAAGTTTATTTCAGTGAAATATCAACTTTTATCTCACAAATAAATCTTCAAATATGTCTTTTTCATATTGAAACAATTTAAATTGAGTCAGACGAATTTAGTTTCGGAGTTGTGTATGCACTAAGAAAAATATTTAGATATTTATTTGCAATATATAAAGTTTATTTCTATGAAATAAAATTCACTTCTGTGAAACAAACTTTATATTCCACAGATCAATTTTCTTTTCAGTGTTACAAACTATAATTGTCATGATATTCTCAGTAAAATTTTGTTGCACCTTTAATCTTTCGTTTGTGTGAAACAAACTCAAAATTCAGCTTAACAAGGCGATCATAAAGCTCATTCAACATGTTATTTGTTGTCTAATGTATTTAATCTTCTATTAGTGGCAAATTACTCGTGTTATGTAGTTGGACTAAATTTTTTGTAGTTGGAAAACATTTAGATCACACATAACATCTATGTTTTGATTTCGTTAACTTTATATCGTTAATTAAATTTTGTAGATAAAATTAATAAAATAAAATAAATAGTAGATAAAATAAATAAAGTAAAATAATTAAATTTTGTAGATAAAATCTTTATGTCGGGTTTTGTCGATTTGCTTCAATTTTCTTTCAGTTTGTACAAAATTTGCACAATTAATCTCTTAAGATTAGATTTAATTCTTTTCGATTTCTCTCTCTTTTTCAATATAGTGTATATATTAATAAAGTATGTTCAGCATATATAACAATAATTGTACAGTGAAATAATTATATTTAATTTTGTAGTAAGTGCTATTATAGTGTCCTTAATAATAATTTCATGTGTTTATTGCAAACTATTAATTTTAAAAAAAATTACATCTTTATAGCTTTGAGCCGCACAGATGAAATGTGATAGAAATTATTGTATATATGTCAAAAAATGTTGTGCACGTTTGACTTTTTACTACAAAATTATTATAATGTCTCTTGTATCGTACATCACAGTAAATCGTCGAGTTCACTATTTCTGTAATAATTCACACCACAATCTCGGTATGATCCAGCTTTACGAAGAGCACTATAAAGAGAAATATTCTCAACTATTTCTTTTACTACGATATTTTCCCCGTGCAGCGCTCCGACTTCGCGTTTCCGCAATGCCTTCGCCGACTTCGCGATCGCGTTGTCGATCGCTGGAAATCGGATTAACACGCTGTAACAGGGGGCGAGGGAGGTGCAGTCACGCGTCGAGGGGAAGCCCTCGCGCGCTCGCTCGTGTGAGCGAGACGATGTGGCGATTTATCGTCCCGAGCTTTCCGCTAAAGCATCTCGGGTGACTTCCGGCAGACGTGGCTATCGGCGGATCGACATCGCTCTTTCGTGGTAGAATACTCAATTACCTGGCCCCAGGTTCCCGCTCCCGTATACCTACTTCTTCCTCCCGCACCCTCGACGGAAGCCCACACTGGCTTTTCCTTCTTCGTCGGCGCACGCACGACTTTGCTTGGCTGGGCCTATATGAATTCGTGGTCTGAGTTCTCCCTCCCCCCTTTCTCTCTCTCTCTCTCTCTCTCTCTCTCTCTCTCTCTCTTTCTGTCTATCTCTCGCGTGTCGATTACATTTATTTTCCACGGCAAGACCACGACGGCGGTGGCACGAAGAGAGACTCTGGCCCGGACGACGCCGTGGCGTTGAACAATTAATTAATCGTTAATAAATCGCAAGGTCGCCGTTCCCCCCAGCCGTGCATGACTGTCTGAACACGAGAGAACTTTATGCGGGCTCCCGCTCCTCACGTAATTTAATTACCGCTTTAATTTGTCGGCCGGTGAGTTACGCGCTCTTGCTCGTCGTCGATTCGTATCGCGTTGATTTATCATTTAGATTCAACATATTTTCTCTACCCTCTTAACTATATGCCGTGGACTTTATTATGCTAATGCCCGTCCCGTCTTCTTCTTCTTCTTCTTCTTCTTCTTCTTCTTCATCTTCTCGAGTGTCATTCCCGTCGGAATGGCTGCGACGTGACTTCGCCGGGACTGCGCGAGACTTCGGAGGCCAATCGAAAATCGTCTGTTTCAGGTCCCGACATATCCGGCTTCCTGCTGCAGCCCTTTAGGAAACCGAAGAGAATAAGGACAGCCTTCAGTCCGAGCCAGTTGCTGAAGCTGGAGCACGCGTTCGAAAAGAATCACTACGTCGTGGGCGCGGAGAGGAAGCAGTTGGCGCAGGCATTGTCGTTAACGGAGACACAGGTGAGAGAGAAAAAGAAGAAGAGATTAGACTAGATCTACTGATAACGCAAGAAGAAAAAATCGTGATAGATGTGAGAGAGTAATAAAGAGATCTGACAAAATGTTTAACTATAAGCGTGGCTAAAAAGAATTAGAAGGAAACAATGAAGCTCACGAATTCTCAAGAAAGCTAAGTTAGGTCAAAGTAGGAGTATGCAGACGTAGGAGATTTAAATGATGATAAAGTAGCTGGGCAGTACGCAAACGGGATCAAGCAATGTGATGATAACGTGTTTAACTTACAACTAGATGATGACGGAGAAGATAATGACGCAAAGAAGATCTAAATTTAATGAGAGATTTGATTTTTATTGTTTCTTTTCCAAGCAGCCAAAAAATGGCGTTGACTCTATGATTTGCACCGGATGAGAAGAGATCACAACGGGAGGGAAGGGAGGAGACACTAGGGGGAGAACGGTAACGAAATGGCTTCGCGATCCGCCATACTTCATTACTACGTTACGCTCTGAACAATTCTCGATGAAAACAATTTCTAACCGAGAGAAGACCCGGAGGTTTAGAATTTGGTGTATTCTACCGTCACAGCAATAAATTTTCTGTAATTGATTTAAATTCACTCGTGTAGAATCCACTTCAAGTGTGAGTGAACTTCACTCCATTGATTTCGAGTAATGACATTCTTGTTATTGCTCGGAGTCAATATTTTACTCGTTTTGAGAGTAAAATTTTACTTAAAAAATTTAGTCAATAGGGAAGAGAAGTAAACAGAGAGAAAAGAGTAAACGAGTATGTATAAATCGAGTGAGAAAAAAGGGGAAGAGAAATCGAAAAATTTCGTCCTAATCTAAATGCCGTCGTTTTTGTCGGCGTTCCTTTTTTTCCTTTTTAATTCTATAAATCTAACTACGACCGACCTCAGTTGTTTACGGATTGCATAAGTAAGCGTTATGAACTGTAAAAGACTGCTTATAAATCTCGGTCTGACAGGTCGAAGTAATAATTCTATCGCTCGATGCACGGAGTTGTTCTTGTCGCCTGCGAAGGAAACTCTATCATTTAGAATAAGATGGTTTCTCAGTCCACAAAACAGAATAGATCAGACTTTTTATATGATAGACTCTCCTGTGTTTAATTGACAGCCAGTCCTCTCGCGAGCGAAGAGAGATAGTTTTTCCAAGAAAAATTAGTTACTAGTAAAAAAACCGGCCAGTTTTTACTGATTAGGATTGATTTCTTAGACAGTAACTATTCATAAACTGGACAGGGAAATTGCTGGCTACTATTGCTTGGTCAGTTATTGACCAGAAACAAGTCAATAAAAAATAGCAAATAAATGGGCAGTTTTTTATCTAGAGAAAACATGAGAAAACTGATACTTCTTTCTTGGCTACTTACGTGCCAGGAAATTAGGCAAGGAAAAATGGTAATAAAAAATAAAACTACAACTACCTCAATAATGAATGATTTCGCGCGCGAAAGGACTCTACGGTTATTTTTATATCGAATAATAAAGTATAATGTTTTACAATGTGTACAGTCAAATTATCTGGCAGAATTTCGTACGAAAACAAGGTTTGGTTAAAAATTGGTTAAAAATTGGTTAGAAACTAGACAGAAAGTGGCTGGTTTTACTGTCTACTTCTACTGGTGAGGCAAAATTTGCTTAAACTGTTGTTTTTGTTGTTGCTTAAACTGGCCGGAAACTAACAAATAATAACCAGAATTCCTGGCCAGAGTTACTGGCCAGGAAGAGGTCGTTCTTCCTACTTAGGTAATCACCGCGCGAAAATGGATTATAAACCGAATGACTCGATATAACTTTTAATCGAGTCTCCCCGCGCGTGAATTGCCTTCGCTGTAATCCACCGACGTGCCAATTATAATAATACTATAACGAATACATCGTGTACATTATTAAATTTTTAATAAGATCGGAGGGTCGAGCGAGGGTCGCCTAGTGTATTCCGCGATCGGCGCCGATAATTGAGTTAATAATATTATCCAGTGCGCATAAGCGCGCGCGTTGTCTATTGCCGAGGAGCGGTAACATGCAAATGGCATGCACGATTAATAAAGCGACTCGTCAGTGGCGGCTCGACATTAGCATTCCCGGGACGCGTTAAGCAAGATTGATACATACGCGCCGTGAGAAGAACGCGCGACGAGACGTCGCGGTCTCGCACGAGAAGATGCATTCGCATGACGCAGCGATACCCATTGTTTTCGCGCTGTTCGTCTCGCGGCAATGATCGTCTCATTTGCACTCGGCTCGTGCGCGCGATACACTCTTGTCGATTCAGAAAAAAGCAATTATCGTCGCGGCGGCGGTGCGCGTTCGCTGAGACGCGCGAAATCCCGACGACGTAACGAAATGGAAGGAAAGAAGAAAGCGGAAACGAAAGGGAGAACGACCTCCTCGGTGTTAATGCGTTGATTTTCATTGATCGTATTCTTTAAACTTCTTTGTAGAGAAATTTCACTCGCATACATGCACTCACACACACAGAATGACAGTTGAATCGTTGCGATTTGAGCAATTTTTCACTCATATATAATCAATTCTTCGCTCTGAAGTGTTAAGTAAATATATTCACTAGAAATTGAAAGAGGAAAGTGAATTTGGTGTATTCTACCGTCACAGCAATAAATTTGCTGTAATTGATTTAAATTCACTCATGAATCCACTTCAAGTTTGAGTGAACTTCACTCCATTGATTTCGAGCAATGACATTCTTGTTATTGCTCGGAATCAATATTTTACTTGTTTTGAGAGTAAAATTTTACTTAAAAAATTTAGGAAATACTCTCTAAATTTCTTGGAGTGAAATTTCATTCGAAAAGTAGAATGACAGCCGAGCCACTTGAACTTTGAGCGATTTTTCACTTAAAAGCAGTGAATTCTTCACTTTGAAATATTGAATAAATATTTTCAAAGTTAAACAATGAATCTGAAATATTCCACTGTCACAGAAACAAATGCACTGTAATCAGTTAAAATATTCACTTGCATGAAATCAAAATCCTACTTAAAATTGAGAGAATATTTACTCCATCGACTTCAAGTGACAATATTTTCATTACTGCTTTCAATAAATTTTTCACTCGTTTTGAAAGGCAGATTTCACTTCGAAAATTTAGGAAATACAAAAGCTGGTCTAATGATAAAGACAAAAAGAAGCTTAATTGGTAATCGTTATGAAAACTAACTAATGATTGCTACAAAAGCTTAACTGACATTTGAATTACAAAAGATACGATAATAGTTCGAGGCGTGTATATCTCTTTTATCTTTTATCTCATCTTATTAGCTTATTGGCTTACCTCCGTTTTTTATTTCAAGTAATTGCAATTAATTATATCTAATGAGACGCGGAAAAATCATATTACCAATCACAGGTGACCGTCACGATATTCAAAGTATTAAAGTGAATTGCAAATCGCCTGAACGAATAGACTCTGCATCAAGACTTTTCTCAACTCACTCTTGCGGTTTTTTTGTTTTTACATTTTCTCCCTCCTCCTCCTCCTCGCGTTCCTCGCCTTGTTTACCGTTTCATCGAGTCATTCGTGTAAAAAAAGCGGAAGAACGTTACACACTGTAACGAGCACGTCGATGATTTCGTTCTCGCTGTTCAGTCGCGTGTGCAAAAACTATCAGCCGTTAGCGCATACATACGAGCTAATACATCGCGTTTAAGCGGTAATATTATACGCGGCAATTACATAACGCGCCGGACGCGATAGATTAATGCAATCCGTCGTAGTATTTATTAACGACATCATTGATATTTATTATCGCCGAGCTCGAGAATGTCGGAATACATTAATCGCTCGTACATTAATATCTCAGCGCGCGAGGTCGGACACATGCAAGAATTCCTCGGAATCGCCTGAGAATGAAATGGGAATGAAACTGTATTAAAATTCTCCGAACGATGGGAATGAAATTGCATTAAAATTCTCCGAATTAGCTTTGCGAGCACAAAGTTGCTTCCCAAAAAGTCACGAATAAACCCAGCACTCTCAGCGTCCTACAAGTGTTCCCAAGTTTAAAAGCATCGCAGCTGAGAATATGAAACGATGCTCGCGAAGAGGGAAAATGGATCAAGCATGAACATGGGACTAGATGGAACACAAGGTACTTGTGTGAACGTGAGCTGTGAGGTTTCAGGGATGAGGGAAAATATCAGTCGCAGCCGTCTTGGTTGATCAAAATTCACATATATATATATATATATATATATATATATATATATATATATATATATATAT